TGTAATAAAGCACCATGACTACAGGCAACTAATGGAAGAAAGAGTTTATTTTGAACGCTGGTTCCGGAGGGGTAAGAGTCCATCTTAGGGAAGCGAGGCACAAGCAGCAGGCATGGTGGCCAGAGCTGGAAGCTGAGACCTCCCATCCTCAGCTGCAAGTAAGAAGTGGAGAGAGCAAACTAGAGACAGATCGACATTGTAATAGTAAAACCTGACCCGGGTGACATCCTTCCTCCAGGAAGGCCACACCTACTAAACCTCTCCAAACAGCATCATCAACTGGGAACCAAGTGTTCAGATGCCTGAGTCTCTGGGGACAATTGTTATTCCAACCACCATAGCAGATGTTGGTAACTCTTAAGAAACCTGAAGAGAAAGCCATATGGGAGGAGCTAGGTAGGAATGTATATGGGGGAGAAGGTTTGTAGTTTCTTTTATGAAAGAGCCTTAAAATCTAAATGGCAATGAAAAAGAGCCAATAGGAATTGATGGCATGGTAGGGATACAGGTCCGTGGGAACGCTGTAAATAGATCAAACAGATGTCAACTTTGTTCATTCCTGTGTGATTCTTAATAATGTCAATTTGGAAGGGCAGAGAAAAATTCAGTTTACTTTTGAGACAGGAACTGCATCAAGAATGAGCCACAAATTCTCTGCCCTTGGGTCTATCATCCACACATAGCATTATGTGTTAGCCGCCAAGTTTCCCCACCCCCTCATTTTATAAGAATAGAGTCAGTTGATGTGTCTCACTAATGTTCACCTGATGTCAAATTCTATGAGAACTTCCAGTCTCATGTAAATAGCCATAGATGTGGTTTTTCAGTCTCCACATAAAGCAACTGAAATAGAGGCAGCCCTTGTCCTCCAGAGCACAGCAACAAGAAACAGATGGCATGGAGGCATAGGCCTACCACCACCACCCCAGAAGGACACAGCATTATGAGAACATGGTGGTTTTAGTGAGTTTTCATTGGGTATAAGCTTGGAGTCTGTTGTTTCTGGATTATGGGACATGTACACATTTTGTGCCAGATGGAATCCAAGTGCTGACAGGATTAGACATAGCCCCCACCCCTAACTCGGAAACTATCTCCAATTAATAACTATGAGCCAACAAAAAAATCAGTTCTCCCCAACAGTCTCACTGGGGATACAAACCACCCTTGAGGGTAGGCCCCTTGCCTATAGTAAAGTAAAGGGTCAACAAAAAGAACTCAGTGGTGTCTTTGGAGTTCTTTGTCTCCTAATGTTTTGGCAGGGCCTTACCTTTTTATTTTATTTTATTTTTTAACCTCATAGGTCCTTTGAGTATATATTATGACTTCCAATTTTGTGCTTTTTATGGGATCTCTGTGTGTACACATGTGTGTGTCTCTGCATCTTTTTTTCTGTTTTTTCTTTGGCTCTTTTCCCTCTGTTTGTTTTGCCCTATTCCAGTTTGCTGTTTTCATTGTATCTGATTTATTTTATTCTTTAGATGTTTGTTTTCTAACAAGAGACAAAAAGGGTGTGGATCCAGATGGGAGGGGACGTGGGGAGAAGCTCAGAGGAACTGATAGAAGGGAAACTGTAATCAGAACACATTGTATGGAAAAAAATCTATTTTCAATAAAAGAAAAAAATCGCACATGTGTGTGTGAGTGTGTGTGTGTGTGCTCCACCACATTTGTGCCACAGCCCATGTGTGGTGGTCAAGGAACAACCTTGGGTGCTCTTTGCCTTCTGTCTTTGAGGCAATGTCTTGTGTTCACCATGAGTAGACCATGTCAGCTGTCTTGCAAGCTTCCAGGAGATTCTCTACCTTCAAACTCACCGTAGGAGCACTGAGGTCACAGACACAGGCGCTGGGGATCTGAACTCGGGTTCTCTTGTTTACACAGCAAATGCTTTGCTTAACGAGTCATATCCTCAACTCTGAATTATTTTTAATTAATTGTTCTCTCTCTCTCTCTCTCTCTCTCTCTCTCTCTCTCTCTCTCTCTCTCTCTCTCTGTGCGTGCGTGCGTGCGTGCGTGCGTGCATCTTCACTGCGGAGCCATCTTTCCAGACCCCCAAAGTATTTTTGGTCTAGCTTCCCTTCTTTCGAATTTATGCTTCCTGCTACCTTACCGAAGGAAGCAGGTAGAGTGTGTAACAGCATTTTCTATATTCCGGATGTTGCTGAGCACATCCTGATGGTGCCATTTCATGTGTTTGTCTATAATTACATTTCCTCTGGCCTGGTAGGTACCAAGACTTGTGGGGCGTTTACCCACCACCCCCACAGCTTCCCAGAGTTTTCTTGAGTGCGAGCAGCAGGAAATATTAGATAGAAGGATTTATAGCAGAGAATCTTGCGGAGATAAACAGATAGAAAATAAAGGATAGCCTCGAGAGGGCCTGGAACCTATTCCAACGGGCCCCAACTGTCTCTGGCCCAGGGTTTTTATAGAGACGCCAAGGGGTGGAGCAAAAGACCTCCTCCCCCAGCACAGCCAAGTGCAGACCATCTCAGACACCTGCACTCAGGCCCGTGGTCCTGATCATCCTCTATTCGGACCTGCTGGGTAAAGCCACGAGGAACCCCAGAACGGGCTCCCACAAAGACTTGACCAGATTTATGTGCAATTATTTGGCCAGATACTTTATGGGTGATAGAGGCATATACTAGCTGATAATTTTAAAGAGCTTTGGTGAAAACATCTTTGTTTTTAACCTCCAAGTGGTCACACAATAAAATCAAGATTGTAGCAGAGTCGCACACAGCACTCCATTCTTGACTCTCAGTCTACCCCTTTCATTCAAGCAGAAGCCACTTGCGAGGTTGATGGCCAGTGAGTGCCCGGCATCTGTATGTCTCTACCCCCCAATACTGGGGTTACAGGGACATGCAGCCAAGTGTAGTTCTCAATGTGGGTGCTGTGGATTCAAACCTAGGTCCTAATGCCTGACAGGCTAGTCCTCTCATTGGCTGAACCATCTCCTCTTGCCCCCTTTTCCATTTCGATTACCTTTTCCTCATGATAACTCAGAAAGTTTCCGCTCTCATATTAGAACCCTACTGTACTACTGTATTGCCAGTTTTTTATTTTGTTCATCCATTGAGAAATGTATATAGTATGTTTTTTCATATTCTTTTCCATTCCCAAACTCCTCCTAGGTCCCCTGTCCCTTCCCGCCCAATTTCATGTTCTTTCCCTCTCTTAAAAAAGCCACTAAAAACATAGGGTCTGATTTGCACTGGATAACTGCTCCTGAGCATGAGCCTGCCCTGAGGGTGGTTGATACACCCAGTGTCACTTTAGTGAAGACAACTGGTTTTCCCTCTCCCACCAGCTAATATGTGTGGATAGCTTCTTGGCTGGGCGTGGTGGGACTTTGTGCCCCCCCCCTTCCTCTGTGCTTGCATTTGTCTGTCTTGAGCTTGTACAGGTCCGTCTCTGTGAGCTCACATGTCCATCTGCCCCACTGTGTCTGGAGAATGTTTCCTTAAGATCATCCACAACCTCTTGCTCTTACAATCTTCCCATTCTCTCTTCCTCACAGATTCCTGAGCTTAGAGAAGAGGGGTGTGGTCCAATCACCCCATTCAGGGAGAGCACTCTGAAGTCTCTCATTCTCCTCATGTTGCCCAGTTGTGGGTCTCTGCATTAGTTCCCATCTACTCTAAGAATGACTCTCTGCTGGGGTTTGAATGACATGCTGATCTATGGGTAATAGTCAGTAGACGTCATTTCCTTGTTCAGTTAGCAGAGCGACTGTAGCAGGTCTTGCCCCGGAGCTTTGACCTGTCTAGTCTCAGGTTCTTGGCATCATGAACATTTCCGTTTCCAGCATTTAAGCTGCTTTCCCTCCTCATACAGCTCCGGACTCCGTGGATCTTTTAGTTTCTGTGCCTTCTCTCGGCCTGTGCTCTTCTCCACACACAGCTGCAGACACTTTAAAGCAAGGGCCAGGCTTTCTTGTTTAGCTCCTGGCGTCCTATAAAACACTTCGGTTTGGTAGAAAACTGAATTATTCAAACTTTGCTCAACCGAGCTTATGGGCTTAAATGGAATAGAAGGAGCCTTATTCAGCTTCTCTTTTATGGCTCTATCTTTAAAAAATGCTGAAATACTTCTCTTTACCTCTGAAGACTCTAACAGAGTAACTGGCACCTGAGGAACAATGAATTTATTGATTTCTGTCAGGTGGACACCAACTGAGGAGAATAACGTGACAGGTCAAGAGAAGTGTGCAAAGCACCGAACCAGATTTTCCTTTGCAAGCTTAGAAAGCATTCTGCCAACCCATGTACCACAGGTTTGTTTTTCAGTCATCATTTCAATAACCATGAGCTACTTTCTGGCAGTACTAGTAAGCTCTGTTCATAGGAATAAGCAATAGAAACAAGCCCAATTGTGTAAGGAGGTGGCTCCATTTGCACATCAAAGGGCCCAGTACCAGATGATGCAAAGCACTCTGTTTTATGAAAGGTTGCGTCAGCTTCTTGGTTTGAGCCTCAAATGCTGTAACTTTCACAGTAGCAGACCTTAGGCAGTCTGGCTGATTTAATCATATTAATTTTGACTTATGAGCCTCTGAAACATGTTTCAGTAAGAAATATAAAAGAATCGATATTGAGATATCACTGGGCATCAACTCATTCCCTTTATTTAGTGCTTTTAAACTAACGCAGTGCTGTGTGCAGTAGCTGGCTTCCCTTTCTTTCAACATAGTGGAAACTTGTATAATTGTGAAAGTTTAAATGTTTAAGCCTTTTGCTGTTTATTTGATTTGAAATCCAGCATATTATTATATATCTTCAGAACCCTAACTGCCATCTTCTTCTAACCCTTCCATTAAATCCCACAATGCAAACCTCTTGGCACTAGACCTGCCTTTCATGTTTATTCAACTGAGCCCGAGAATCTTGAAAACGTGTTGAAGTTTGGGGTTTTCTGGTGAGCCTGACATCACGCTGACCATGGCTGTGATTGGCTGCTGAGAGGCAGAGAAGGTTTATAGGCGGCAAGAGCAAGTGAATGAGTGAGTGGCAGCAGAGGGAACAATCCGCGCCACTCACTCACTCCGGCCAGGACTGCCAAAGGGTAAGACAGCCAACAGACTTCCTTGCCTCACAGCCAGGCACCTCAGGCTTCCGTGTGGGGATTTGGCTTGGGATTATTCTATTGAAATGTGGGTCTTATTGCATTGTGCACAATGGCTCTGATTGAACTTTTGTTTACTACGAAATGGGACCTCTGAATTTAGCTTTCTTTCCAGGCTTCTTAACCTGAGCAAGCAAGTAAACTGTTCAGATTGGGAACGTGAACTAGAAAATGCTGCATCTTCCTCTCTGTGGGATAAATTCAGGGCAATCTAACTGCAGTAGTATTTACATTTGTAAACTGACTAGATATATGCATTTTCCATAAGTTATTCCTAAATTGTACTTCAATAATACACAATTTCTTTTCAATATATTCTGTATTGAATTTTAAAGTGTTCATATCTTATACCTCTAAAACCAGTCTGGAAATGTATACTACCAGAGAAGTAAATGATTTTGCTACCGTATACGGAATTATAACACAACTGTTTAGAGTGTTTGAGTTGTCCAAGTCGGTAGTGGCCACTGCAGAAGACTCTATTGTTTGGTGAATTAAAAGTAAATGAGATAAGATTAACATGGGCAGCCAGTTGAGGTATTAACGTTTCACTTGTTTTTATATACAACATATCATCATTTCCGCCATGCTTTCATTCTGGTTAGGTCATGATTTCATGTGAGAATTTTTTCTTATCACAGCTCTATCTACAGTCCCTCTATTTAAGTTTTAACTTCTTTGAATATTATGAATATCACATTTTGATGAATCGATAAAGCAAAATTCCTTCTCCTCCTCATTTTCCTTCTCCTTCCTCTTCCTCTATTCTTTCTTCATTGCTAGTGTTTTTGTTTTTGTTTTTTTAACACAGGATCTCATATAGCTTACTTTGAATTTCCTATGTAGTCAAGGATGTCCTTGAACTCCTGATTCTCCTGCATCCACCTCCTAAGTGTACCACCCGGATTGTCTCATCAGTCTTCTTAAACAGGTGGTCCATGTTCAGGGGCTAAACCCCTTTGCTCCTCTCAGCTTGTTAAAGCATCTCTGTGTAAGTCTCTCTGCCTCTCTCTCCTGCTCTCTTCCTCCCTCTTTTGTTAGCACACAAATATGAATAATTCCAAGATACAAGATGAAAACTGTGTACACATCCAATCAAAATTCCCACACCAGCAGTGTGCCTGGAGCCTTACTCTGCATACTGGTTATTTAGTATCTAATACTCAGTAAAGCTGTAGTGAATGCTAGTGATGATGTAAAATAAATAAAAAAAATGTCCCCACAGAGTGCAACACGTGACATGAGCTTTATACATTTTTAAATATTTCATTACAAAATGTATTTAGAAAAAATGCCATTCCTGCTGTATCACCAAATTGTCACCGTGTCTGAAGCAACTCCCATCAGCTGTGAGTGAATAGGTGTTAGGATTCCAGGGAAGTTTGTTCAACCTCTAGAGGACAGAGTTTTAAAACAGAACTTCGGGGTAACACTCCGCTGTCTGCTTCTGTTGATGATGAAGCTGTGTGGAAGTGGAGAGCTGTTGCTGTAAACCTAGGATCGCCCAGGACCACCCACCCCCTGGCAGCTGCATCTTTACTCTGTAGAGCATCTACACCTACCACAGAGCTCCGCACTAAGAGATGCAAAGCTGAACTGGAGCTGGGGAAACCTGATTCGAGGAGACTCTTGAGTGCTGTTTCTCACGAGAGTAGCGTTTCATGTATTATGGGTTGTTTCCCTCCTTTCTCATTTCTTCCCCTTTCTTCCCCCTCCCTCCCTTCCTTTCTCTGTGTCTCTCTGCCTCTGTCTTTCTCTGTCTCTCCTCCCCTTTCTCTTCCTCTCTCCACTCTCCCCTTCCCTCTCTCCCTCCCCTTCCCCCCCTCCCTCATTCCCTCCCCCCTCCTTCCTTTCCTCCCTCCCTCCTTTCCTCCCTCCCTCCCTCCCTCCCTCCCTCCCTCCCTCCCTCCCTCCCTCCCTCCCTCCCTCCATCTCCCATCCTTCCCTCCCTCTTGCAGGTCCAAAACCAACTCTGAAGTATTCTTAGGGAAAGGGCCCCTACTGTCTATTTTAAGAATGAACTCTTAGTTCAAAAATCTATGGGCAGAAGTCGGAAACTCCCTGCAGTCCACTGGGTAAATGAACCATCTCAACACATTTGAGCTTTGGTTGATTTTTAACTATCAGCAACTGAACGGGACACGAAGCCACACTGACATGCCCACGGGCTGGTGTGGCTGATGCTCCCCTGTCAGTATCTTTGGAGATTTCTTCACCCCGTGTGAAGCATCGGGAGTATTGAGAGCCTGATGCAGGGATCCAATGATCCCCCACTAACAAGTCACAGAAAAATGGATGAATCAAATGTGGAGCTCAGAGCTCTTCAGACACACCTACCATACAAGTGGAAGGACTTGGAAAAATAAAGAGACCTTTTCAAGGCTGGAGGTCAAACACAAGTCCTCACTCATGCCAGACAAGTAACCTCACCTCTCCAACCAGAAATTTGCTTATAATTAGTTTAAATGAGAGTTAGACAAAATAAGACCAACTGAATTATTTATGAGCAAATGAGCCATGCACTATGTTTTAATATCTGTTAACTGTATCCCTTCTTGGATTGCAGAAATAATTGCAAAATGAAGACTGCTTTAATTTTGCTCAGCATTTTGGGAATGGCTTGTGCTTTCTCAGTAAGTTCATTGTGGAAAAACCTTCATTTTTTGGTAGTTACATTTTTTATGTGAACAGGGTCTGTAACAATAAAATGTTCTTTTGAACAGATGAAAAATTTCCATCGCAGAGTCAAAGCTGAAGATTCTGAGGAAAATGGGGTAAGTAATTTTAGAAAAATTCTCTAGCCTACATTTATTCTAATATAAGTGCGCACTAAATGTGATCATAACCTTTGTTTTATTTGGGCAGGTCTTTAAGTACCGGCCACGCTATTTTCTTTACAAGCATGCCTACTTTTATCCATCTCTAAAATGGTTTCCAGTCCAGGTAAGTGCAAAATTTCCCTTTTCACTCCTCTACTTTGGTAACGGGGGTTAAATTTAACACCCGGACATCTGAACCCACTCCCAACTCCATTCATCCAGATCCCTCCTTCGTGCTATGGAAACTTGAACTTATTATAAAAACCCAAGCTTTCTTTCAACACAAGAGACAAAGTACAGTGAGGGAGAGAGAGAGAGAGAGAGAGAGAGAGAGAGAGAGAGAGAGAGAGAGAGAGCGCGCACTGGGGTGATGAAAACAAGTACTCTGACATCTAGAGTTCAAGTGTTCCTTGAATCTGCTGATAAAAGTGAACATTTTATCAACTACTGACAAGGAAGCTGGTGATGAGATCACTAATTGTGATAAGATCACTAATTGTGATAAGATCACTAATGGTCATTACAGTTGGCTCAGTACTGTCACCCAGCTGTTCACATCTGACATTTCAGCAAAACCCCTGAGCTCTCGAAAAGCCAAGTTCATAAGCACCCAAGTCTTCAGACAACCAGAGGCCTTAATAACTCCCTGGCAGTGATGATGATGTCTGGAACCCTTACCGTGTTAGGGGGCAGGACTGTGGGTCACACATGGAGCACAATCATAATGGGGTCTGACCCGAGCACTGCAGAGGACAGAGAGAAACTTGTGAAATGTAGGAAGCCCATGAGGGAAAAAAAATCAGTAAAATTTGTAAACAAGAAGGAAAAATAACTAAAGCTAAAAATGAGGCATCCCATTTTTGCTGGGTTATTTGTGAAAGAGGTCTTTGGATACTGGAGGGTGTGGTACTGGTCCTAAATACACAAAAAACTAGCGTGACACTATTTTCGTGACTGTACAGTTTGGGTTCAGAGTGTCAATTATGCACCATTTGACCCAGGACTCCCAAGGCACCGAAAGCGGCAGGATCCTGTGAACGGTGCCTCGGCACGGTGGCTTGGCTCCGAGTCTCACCATATGTCAGGCTAACCCCTCTCTAGCTCATGCAATGATAGGAAATCATACTCCTCAAGTATTTCTAGCACCATTATAATTATGGAGAACTTGTGTGGCCGCAGAAATATGAGCATGAGTGATACAAGAGTTGTGGGTTTTCAGAATTGTCCTTTGTTCCTTGGTTCACCTCAGGCCCAAAAATAAACAGGGTCCATTTGGAAATTTGTTCCCTTTCTAAAACAGATATCATATAAATTCTAGTTCCTAAGTAGCTGGCTAACTTTTCTGAAATATCTAATACTTAGATACAACCATTCCCACCTAGATTGTATATACATATATATGTGATCCAACTAAAAAGTCCATAGTATACTAATATTGGTAAAGTTACAGTCTTTTGTTACTGATAGATTCAAAGTCCATAGAAGTCAAATATGCTTCCATCACAAATTATATACATAGAGGCTTGACCAATTTAAGTAGAACTTATAAGGTAGTTGTTTTAAAATTTAAAAAAAAAAAAGAACATCTCCACATACAACTTTCTGAGATATTTGTGACAAGCTCCTGTTTTTACAAAGTTTGATGTCTCCTATCTTATGTCAACATCTATTTATTGTCCAAAGTTGTCATCCTGACCCCATGAGTTATATTTTATTGACTTTAAAATTCACGTGTTAGTTAGCAAGTCTGTTCATGGGTCGTCATCCATAAAATAGCACCTTGCATGCGATGCATCAGATGGGTTGCAAAGCCACCAACAAGTCTGCCATAGATGTCTCCATGCTGAGCTATAGAAACAGACATGTAAATCATCTTAATTAGTATCCTAAGCTATTTTAGTGAAAAATTACATTTTATGATTAAGATGATATTTGATTAGTGTGCCAACTTGTAGAAAGCAAGATTCAATTTTATTTCTTTTATCATTTTTATCAGCTAGCATACAAATGTGGCTTTTCAGAATTGCCCTCCATTAAGACACCTGTTCATCTGTCTTTTATCTGCCCATCATCTCTCATGTGTCTATATAAATACATGAAAGGCTCTGGAAGAATCAGTAAGACTTTCTGATAAACTGGTAGTACGTAAAAAAAGGAAAGTGATTCAAAACATTAACAAAGTAAAATGCAAACCCTTAAGTATCCCACACAGCTTTTCAATGGCCCCCACCACACACCCTAATGGTGGAGTGTTAGCAAGTTTGGGAGGAAAATACAGCGAAGGAAGCATGAAGAATACTTAACACAGTCCCAGCAGAGAAAAACAGCTCTGTTTAGATAAATATATGGTCCTCTATATTTGACTTAATAAGTGGAAATAGCTCAAACATAACAATTTATTTTATTCCTCCCTGGGTGTGGAACAGCGTAACTACTAGGTCATGGCAGTGTAGTGAGGGTCTAATTACTCTTCTTCTACCCAAAGTCATTGTTGGCCCAAGGCAGCAAGCTCCCTTTCCTTGGCTGGGTGACACAGCCACCTGGAGAATGAGGCCAACAGGGACTCCATGAGCAGCACAGGGATGAGCCTCCTCTACAGACTTATTCCTAACTCAGAAGTTAATGGTCCTTCTCAGTCATGTTCTTCCAGGACAGGATGCTTAACTGATCATCAGAATCAGATCATCAGAAATGGCAGTCTAGCTAGGCGTGCATGGATCCCTGAGGCTGTTGGGGCTGAGTGTGGAATAGGAAGGGAGATTCCCTTTGGGTTATCTTTGGTAGAAAGATCAAGGGTCTCTCCTCTTGACTTGGAAGTTCTGATGCATGTTTAGATTTACATGTAATTAAAAAATAAAAAGAAGAAAGCTCAGCATTAGGGTGTGTCTAATGTGTAGAGCATTTGCCCCGAGTTTGATCCCAGCACTGTAAGAATATAACAAAACAATATAAAGGCAACAACAATGAAGACCCCAATAAAGCTCACTGACTCATGTTTTATATGTAGGATCCTTGGTTTACTTTATTATCACCCCACCAAATCGTAAGTGCTTTTATATCTTTCATCTAATTTAACTGTGCATTTATCAATGAACACAATTTTAAAATTAGTTTTAATTAAATTGAGGATCTAGGAATACAAATTTAGTTTCTCTATATCAAATTATGATTTAGATTGTAGTATTTAAGAGAACTGTCAAATAACACTTTACACTTTATAGTAAAATAAATCATTATCATCTGTATTTTGTAAGAAAATAAGACTATGCAATCTATATCTTAGTTTGAGACCTGCTTAGAAATGGTTGGGGAAATCACACTTTTTTGAATAGTTCCTTCTTGGAGGAAGAACTCAGTAGTTCCTTCATTCCTTCAAAACTAAACAATTTGTGATTTGTTATTCTGGTTTTTGCATAGAATGTAATATTTCAACATGTTGTCTGTGTTTGGGAGGTTGAAAGTGCGTAACCTCATTCATAGGCTGTTCATTGTGAAAACAGCGGTTTCTGTCCTCGTTTCATATTCGCCCAAATGTGCTCACATCTTGCTCACTTTAGCTTGACACTGTTCTGTGCTAACAAATCAACCAAGCTGATAATACTAATAAGCATAAGTAAATATCTCTGCCTGTTACATTTTAATCATCAGGAAACTTCAGTTGCTGTTATGTATCATATGTGTGTGTACACATGCACACATACTATGTGTATGTATATATGTATATGTATGTTTTAGGGAGGCAGCGACTCTTCTGAAGAAAACGGAGATGGTGATAGTTCAGAGGAAGAGGGGGAAGAGGTAAGACATTTTCTGTATCTTCTGTAGCAAGGCAGGCAACACAAGGAGCTAAGAGGAAACTATTCCATGCAGTCTGGGCCCAGCAAATACCCACTGCTGCCTTGCCAGCTCCCCATAACCAGCTATCCTGGACAGGCGGAATATTATTTGAGTTATAAGTAACTAAAGCAACTCACTTTAAACACCATCACCTAGATGCGGTACCCAAAAACAAAGGTGTCTGCATTTTAAGGGAAGTGTAACACCCACTGAAAAGCAGCATGACGTTTATTTATATTGGATGCCTATGACAGTAAGCAAGAAAGAAGTAATCTCAAGCTTGGCGCCATGCACCTTCCTTGGTGGGCAGGATGTGAAGCCAACTGATACCTCTAGAGTGGTGTCCTGGTTTAATCTACAGAATATGGTCAGTCTCTTTAATAGTAATTTAATAGATTTTTGTCTAATTATTAGATTACAGAAACAAAAATACTCAATATGTATAAACATCTTCCTAAATAGTTAAATTACTGTACTTAATGGCTAAAATTCATTCACTACTCCTGGCTTGGGAACCTTCCAAATTCAGTTATTTCTGGGTGGTGTTTATGAGTAGAAAATTATAGCCAAAAATGGAACATCTGTGTCAGGTATCCTGAAAGCCAAAGATGTGGCAACTTGAATGGTGACCAAGTATTAGTTTTTCCTTCTGGTTAAGTAACATTCCCTGTGCTATAGTTACCCTGACCGTGGAGGGAAGGCCTTAAAAATAATGCCAGGCCAGGACCAGAAACCCTGTATGGCCTACATCCTTTAAAATCTTGCTGCAGCTCAGTCAGACTCCAAAACTAAGGGAGCCTCATCCATGTTACTACAGCTGTTTTCTGTCCAGCGATTGTGAAGCAGACTTTGCATGTCCCAGTTCCACCATGCATCTCTTGGCAGCAGTTCTTGGTTGCTGTGGTGGAGGTGAAGACAGAAGCGTCAGGCCTCTGGCAAAGTTATGCCCACCCAAAACGTTGTCAGCCACCCCTGAATATGTAGGCCCTCCCATTTCTTCTGTTCAAATCCCCTAAGACCCAAAAACGCTATGTTAAACTCTGTTCACGAAAGAACTGCTCCGTGCCTCCTGCTGTAACTCCTCATACTGCCTGGCACAATTCTGATGCATATATGATGCCCAGGAAATAGTTGATGACTTGGTTTTGAAATGTCAAAGGAAGAGATGCTCCAAAGATCATTCATTTACAGCAATCATAGAAAGGTGGATAGATTTGGGGATTTTCCATTTGCAAGATTCTACACATGCTTTCATCTTAATGTCTTCTTTAAAATTTAACTGAGAGTTCCAGCTAGGTGTACAAACCCCAGGGATTGTATTTATATGAGGAAACTACTTGGGCACATTTTCTATTTGATGATAACACCCCCCCACACACCTTGAAGCACTTCAGACTTGTTTAATTGAAACACACATGATAACATTATCAGCTCATTGAAATTTCAGAAACTGAATATGTAAGTAAATCAACACTATTATGAAAAAATAGAACATGTCCAATATTACATTAATCAACTCCCACCATGGACTACCATGAGTTTGACTTTAATTGAGTAGGTTAATTTCTGCCTGTTTTTAATACACAATACTTTATATATTTTATATATTCTATACATATACATACTCTACTTATAGGATGACACACTATATATTCTTTTTTAAGAGCTTCTGTTGTTCTGACCTTCAGGGATTCTTCCAAATTATCCTTTCCTCTTTGAGTACCCAGGTTTCCGATCAGTATTTCACTGTATCGATGTGTTGCAATGTATGAGTCATCTGAAAATGGGTATTTTGCTAGTTTCCAAATTAGGATTGCTACAAAGGTGGTACTGCTGGGAAAATTCTAGAACTTCTTCAAGTGACTTTACACATTGATTTGGGGAGGCTATTTTACTTAAAAGCATAGTTTCTGAGTCAAAAGATGTGCATATGTTCAGCTTTACTAAAGGCTCTCCAAAGTAGGAGCTGTCGGGCAACGCCCCCTCTCCTCATACAAAGCTTCTACTGATCCCCATTCTCACCAACACCTGTTTATTTCATTCATTTTGGCCATTCTAGGGGCCATGGATATGGATAACTTTTCTATATAATAAGGTATTTGAAGCCCAATATAGTAATAGTTCAGCCCATTTCCTTTTTAATTTGTTTGCACAAGAACATTCTTAAATTAAGTTTCTGGGCCAAGAAAGAATCTAAGAGGAGAAATTGTGTACAATGACTACTCTTCAGTCTTGACTCTGCCACCAATGAATGATTACGAATTCTCACCCATTTGACTTCATACAGGTCACTGTATCACTGCATGTCAGCGTTTTCATCAATGAAATGAGGGAACAAGAGCCAACTAACATAGCCTCATAGAATCTCTCCAATGACACTAAGAATTTCTCCTTAGACCACTAAAAAGTTTAATCTGCTTGAATGAATTATGAAAAACAAATGGTATACCACTCATGAGATATTGGGCACACCTAGCTTGGAAAGGAGGCTTGGGTTGTATCAAATCCTACACTGAAATTATAGCATTCACAAACTTAAGAAGAAAAATTCTGCTTTAGTCAATTTGTTTTCAAAAGAAAGATCAAACTCAGATTTAGTTCATTTTCCTGAAATCTTAACATTATCCTAACATCACAATCTCCCAGAAATACATTTCAAGTAAATTCAACTCTCCACTACTCATTTATTTAAATTTATTTATTTAAATTTAAACATATAAAATCTAGATTTTTTACTAGTAGGTATTAATTATACTGATAGATTATGTCAGTTTACAAACTATTATCTCATAGCATAAATAAAAGAATAAAACATTAAAGATTATGATGTACATTTGTCTAAGTCTTAATTTTTAATCATCTTCATGTAATATCATACACACTACTATGAATTTCTTGTGCAGAAGAAATAATTGTGCACCAAATGTCTAAAGCACAAATACTGTTAAGTTGATAAAATAGAAAGTATAAATAACTGCAGCATTCCACCAGCTGATAAATGGGATTAAGTAGCGTTGAGTTCTTAGAAGTAAGAAGGGAAATGGCACACAGGCAGGCAGTTATGTGCCAGCTGAGGGCATTTCCAAATAGTGCCTCAGAGACCCAACAAATCTTGAGCTCTATTCCAGCTATAGTAAATTTTGAACTCTGGATATTCTCACCAGGAGACTTCAAATGAAGAGGAAAACAATGAAGATTCGGAGGGGAATGAAGACGAGGAGGCCGAGGCGGAGAACACCACACTCTCTGGTGTAACAGCTGCCTATGGGGCAGAGACCACGATGGGAACTGGGACTGTAGAGCTGGCTGCACTCCAACTGCCCAAGAAGGTAATGAGTCCCAATGTTGATCTGTTTGCATCTCTCTGCTGATGTCTAAGTCTCCCTGACACTATTCATATAATATTCATACCGTCTTTACTTATATTATTACCTCATTAAAGAAGCAAGAATAGATAGACTTTCCCTGATTACAAATGAGGAATGATATTCTGTGAATTTCCTCCCCAAGCTACTGTACCATCCCACTTCAGAGGTGCGACTTCCAAGGCAGAGAGCGTGTGTGTGTGTGGGGGGGGGGCGGCGGGGGGAAAGCAGAGCAAAGAAAGCATTGTGCAGAGGGCAGGCTTATCGGGTACATGCCCCCAACCCATCAAAACCCATTACAAAGGTATCTCTTCTGAATTTTTAAAGTCATCACCAATTCTTTCACAAATTAAGTTATCTTTAACTCAAAACAGCATCCATAACAAGGCCATCTGCAGAAACTAGATTTGAATGATTTCAAACTTTGCCTTTCAGGCTGGAGATGCAGAAAGCGAGCCTGCAAAAAAGAAGGAAAGCGATGAAGAAGAAGAGGAAGAGGAGGAAGAAAACGAAAACGAAGAAGCAGAAGTAGATGAAAACGAGCAGGTCGTCAACGGCACCAGCACCAACTCCACCGACGTGGACGGTGGGAACGGCAGCAGTGGAGGAGACAACGGAGAAGAAGGGCAGGAACAGAGTGTCACTGAAGGGACCACAGCGGGCAGGGAGCTGATCAGCGAGGGTCCCAAGACAGCTGACCTTCTGGACGGGCTTCAGCATACCACCCCACCACCCGAAGCCTACGGGACCACCCCGCCACCATTCAGAAAAACCACCACCGCTGAGTATGGGGGGGAATACGAACAAATGGGCAACAATGAAGACAATGGTGAGTATCAAGTCTACGACAACGAGAACGGGGAGCCTCGCGGGGACAATTACCGCGCCTATGAGGACGAATACAGCTACTACAAGGGGCGTGGCTATGAAGGCTACGATGGTCAAGATTATTACTACCACCAGTGAGGGTCCCCCTGGGGTGAATTCCCCACGCTCTCATTGCATCTGGCTACCATTTATTTTCAAAGTTCAACTCAGGAAGGTGCAAGATAACACAGGTGCATTTTACAATGTGGAGTGGTGCTACAGTCCCGGAGTGATCTCTGCAAATGCTTCTATTTGTAATGGCTTCTTTTTTATTTTCCCAGGAATGTCACTTGAAAGGTCATTGTAAGTCAGGGCCATTGGTCAAACAGTACACCATCTCTGAGCTGGGACCGGATGGAATGCTTTGAGGTTGTAACTCTCCAGTATTTGTGCTGTGTGCATTATTGCTAACAGACCAAACATACTCTTCGTGCAACAAGGCTCCTAGAGAGAGACTTATAAACAACACTGTAGACAATAGTTGTGTAGTTCCTATATCACACCCCCTAGCCAATACTGTATTAGGTTTAATTCTCATCCTCATGTATTGTATGTGACCTGTATGCATGGGTTTTATCTCAAATAAATACGCAGTTCTTGAAATGTATTATAATTAAGAAGGAATGGAGGGCATTGGGAAGCACATGAGTTTAAAGAGGGTGGGACAATTCAGCTAAAAAGCAAGCTTATTTCCATTAGGGTTTAAAACGCAGAGGATCTGGGAACATCCTCTCTTCAATAAATCTGCAGGACTAAGGCTTGACAGTTGAGGGCAGATTCAGCTTTACAGACTAGGGAATGAATGACACTTAGAGATTTAACAAATCTCTTAGAGATTTAACAAACATGAATACATGCTGTATGATGCCCACTTCAATTTGAGTTTCAGATAAACAATGCCCCCTCATGAATAATTAGTCTCTGAAATATCTGGAACAAAGTTATGCTAAATAAATGACTTATTCTTTATCTAATATTCAACTGTGACTGGGTGTCCTGTGTTTTTCAGGTAAACTTATCCCTAGAAAATTTGATCTTAAATGGGATAGGGCATATAATGGGGTAATTAAACTCTTACATACACACACACAAAAAACCACACACACACAAACTATACACACACATACACACACACACACATGCAAACACACACACAAACCACACACATATATGCATGCAAACACACACAAAACTGCACACACACATACACATGCAAACACACACCCACCACCCACCACACATACAATTAATATACAAAGTCTTGACAGCAATTGACTCCTTAATATAAACCTAGAAACAAACTTCAAGTAAGCATATAGACATTTGAAAGAAGCAAGATGACCATAATTGACTATCCTTTAATTTATTCATTATGAGATATGTGAACCCACATAGTCAATGTTTAGACATCCAGCACATGAAAATGTAGAATCTTGTCCGAATGGTTTTGGTTTGATTGCTGTCAGTTCTGTCATCATTGGCTCAGTGACCTTGACAGCAGAGTCGGGAGACTGGTCAGTAAGTGCCTTCACAGCACCTCTTACCTCCCTCACTGCCTGAGTGTCTCTTCCTGTCGAGGTGATAGAATACCCTGGCATAAACATCATAAAGGGAACAGTGTTTATTTCGGCTCACAGTTCAAGGGTACCAGCCAGCTCTCATGGCAGAGAAGTCGAGGCAGCTGTAGTTTGAACCAGCAGGTCACATGGTAGCCACAATCGGTCAAGAATGCTTTCTCCATCTGTAGAGTCCAGGATTCCAGCCAGGGATTGGTGCCACCCACAGTGGGAGGGGCTCCCCTTCTCTGTTAAAATCAAGATGGTCCCTAGCAGGCATGTCCCATGTCCAGAGGCTCATCTCCCAGAGGATTTGGGATTCTTTCAGGTTGATAATTAATATTAAACCCCTAAACTCATAACTAGTTAACATTCTGTCACATTTATTCTCATCATACCCCCCTGTGTGTGTGTGTGTTGTGTACACAATTCTTTGCAAAACCATTGAAGAGGAGTTTGTAGAGATCATGATGCTTCATCAATACTTCAGTATTAATTTTACAAAGAATTAACCAGGAAGGATGGTCTATGCATATAATCCTAGTATGCAGAAGGCTGGTGCAATAGGTTGGCGACTTCCAGGCCACCATGGTCTGCATGGTAAGATTATTTCCCACTCTCCTCCCCCACATAACAATGACTTATCCTGTATAAACATAATACTAGTCTCATTCTCAAGAATTTTAACATAGGCAAGAATATCTCGTAATATTAAAAGTGTGTCATTCATAAACATCTTAAGTTTCCCACTTATTATCATCCTCAATTTTACTGGTGAACAATTGGCACAAGGAAATCACGAACGGCCAGGCAGGGTTAAACAGAGTCAGGGTGGCTCTACCATTATCCAGCACTCACTGCCATGCTCGTCTGCAGTGGGTGGGCAGGGCTCCTCTAGTGCAGGGCGCACTGCTTGGAAATGAATCACAACATGCTTAGAACCAGCCAGGTTTTATGACTTGAATGCTGAACGTTTTCAGAGCCAGGATCCTCTCCTATATTGGTTTATCTTGCTATGTAGGCAGCAGGATATGGTGCAGAGCTCAGGAACGCTGGAGATAGAGAGTCTGGTCTTGCCGGCTAATTTACCCCCGTAAGTCATTAGCTCCCCAGCCCCCTATAACATGGAGTAGGCTTCTGCTAGAGTGTGACACACCTCAGGGACTCAGAACCGGCTGTCTCTCCTCTCTCCTCTTTAGAGGCTGCGCATCAGCATCAGAAGCCTCAGTTTGTTTTCCTTCCTGGAGTCTCACCTTCTAAATTCTGTCTGTCTGTGGAAATGAGTTCCCTTTGTGGCTGTAGAATTCCACTCAGTCCTTGGCTTCAGGGTATATTTGTTTGTTTATTCATTTATTTTGCATTTGATGCTACCAGGAAGCCAAATCAGTTTATTCATCATGCTTCCCAAAATAACCCAGGTAGTTTTCTGGTAAATTGTATAATTAAGTGTGTTTCATCATGCTCCGCTCCCACTGAAATGTAGACTTCCAGGACTACATACTCTTAGACCTTGTTAGGGTGTCTCAGTTACTAAACAACAGAAGAGTTTGTAACAGGCCCGTGATGCTGCTGAAGTTGTTAGACTGATGCATTTAAATTGATCCACACCAGGGAGACACAGGCTCAAATGGAATTAGATGGTTTATTACTACTAGAGAGAGCATGCAGGAGCAGCAAGATATCAGTTCCTGGTGTTCCTAGTGTCACAAGACAACACTAATCCAGAGGTGAAAGGTGACAGAGGGTAGGACATTCTGTTATTGAGGAGCTGGCTGCAATCAGAGCTGAACAGATGGACTGCACAGAGGCTATAGTTGAATGCTAAGGAGATAAAGTTGAAAGATTTTTAATCAGCTGAAACTGGGGGAAAGGCAAGGCAGGCAGGCAGGACAGAGAGACAGGCAGGCAGGGCAGGCAGGGAAGGCTGGATGTGAGTTGATGACCTGGGAATATTGATAGGACCACAAAACAGCTGCTTCTAAAAGATGACTGAGCCCTCCCTGTGGTGACCCTGTATCCGGTCTGCTCATTTCCAGTCTTCCTGAGTTTCATCAATTCATGTCTCAGTCAAGTGTTCTGTATGTTAACCCAAATACAACCCAGGTTTATGCTTTGGAGAACACAAAACCTTTCTCTATGATTTAGTTTATTGTTGTAATATACGCTCTGCATCTACATCTTTCCAGGCTAATGTTGGTTTCCATCATGCTTTCTTGTTTATAATATTCCCCCTTGCTGAACTGTAATTTTGATTTTCAAAAATCACCGTTTTCAATGCAGGCTTTGAGAGTTTATCCCACAGTAAAGAAAGAGACATGGCTAGGATTGCATTCTGGGTTTTTTTTTTTCTACTAAAAAGTTTGTCACGATTCTAAGTAACTCTTAGAGTGAAGAGAATAAACAGCATAAGTATGAGGAAAATTAAAAACACTAGACATACTTTTTCAGAAAAACAGTCAAGAATAATGGGTCTTACTTTTAAAAAAAGAATGAAACTTTATTAAAAGTAAACCAAAGAATAATCACTCAGACCTTGTATTTATCTAAGAACAATGGCATATATATTTTTTTTTAAAAGATTTATTTATTATGTATACAGTGTTCTGCCCGCATGTATGCCAGAAGAGGGCACAAGGTCTCATTACAGATGGCTGTGAGCCCCCATGTGGTTGCTGGGAATTGAACTCAGGTCCTCTGGAAGAGTAGCCAGTGCTCTTAACCACTGAGCCATCTCTCCAGCCCAGAATGGCATATTTTTGCCTTTACGTTTTTAAAATATTCACTGGCTTAACATTATTGATTTGTTGATTAAATAATAAAAAGTTCTCATGTAAGTTAATTTTTATTACATTATATTCTTTTTCACAGGGCTTCTACCCTTAATGTCACGACTCCAAACATCTAAGAAGAAAAATGATCCAGTAACATGGATTGATCTTGCTTATTTCTTTCTGAAATATAAATTCTATCCTAAGTATTTTAGTCAAGCTTTGTTCTTTTTCTGTAAAGTCAAATTCAGCAATTTTCTTTCTGTAAAGAACCAGATAACAAATATTTCGGCAACATAGCTAGGAGCCACATGGTTTCTTTCTCACTGTGCTGAAGGCAGCCCTTGGCAGTATGTAAATATGTGTGGTACAGAAGAACACCAAGAAGACTTGGATCCTGAAAAGAGGTGATGTTACAAATGTGGTCCACAAGCTACAGTTTGCCAACCTTGATTTTAAATAAGCCAAACTGTAAGGATTATTTTTAAAAATTGATGCACATTTAGTTATTTAAGCTATAAACAAACTGTGAGCGAACTCATTTTTTTTTTCCTCTTTAAGCTTGAAGCTTTTATCTTCATTTCAAACTTACTTAAAAATGTGAATTTTTTTATTTAATATTTTTGGTGGAAATAGGTGGCTGTCTCTCAACATTTCTGGATATAAACATATTAATTTTTAATAAGTAATATTTAAAAATAATTTTCCCACTATGTCATCCTTTGAAATTCTGTAGATCACTGACTGCATTGAAAAAAATCTTGATCTTGATTGTAGCAACGGGAGCATCATGTAAAGTCAACGGTAAGACATGAACCGCAGCTCAAGTTGTGCAGACAGGGTTGTCGTCAAAGTCAGTCCTCCAGTCCTCTTCAAACTAACCTTGACTGGATGACAAATACCTGAACTGTGTCCCACCTGGCCCACGGTTGGGACAAATCTCTCACCCACAGTTCTGCAGCCTTTTATAAAATAATCACCCAGCAATTTATATTATTTTCAAACTACATGGCCTAATGGCTCAGGCTTCTTGCTAGCTAGATCTTATATCTTAAATTAACCCATTTCTATAAATCTATACTTTGCCACGTGGCTTGTGCTTACCGGTACTTTACATCTTGCTTCTCCTGGCAGTGGCTAACAGCGTCTCCTCTCTTTGCCTTTCTCTCTCTAGTTGGAATGTCCTGCCTAACCTTATTCTGCCTCACCATTGGCCAAACAGCTTTAATTATCAGTCAATCAGAGCAACACATTCGCAACATATAGAACGACATTCCACAGCAGAACTGTCTACCAGGTCTTGACCTGGGCATCCTGTATTCTCCCAAAATGGCTATAACACATACTCACATTTTACGAGCTACAGTGTGATGCCAACACTCCACAGTCAGAGTGTGGGGGCCTACTCCTGCACCCCACTCATCCTGACTGCTCTGACACAATGTGAAAATGTGACTCCATGACAGCTGTAGTCCACAAAACAGCCTGACTGTCCCTGTTTTCTGCTCTTGGGACTTGAGGCTCTCAAACAAGAAGAGGAGAATCTTCTGAGAAAGGACAAAATAATGTAATTTTCATGGAACACAACTCTAGCTAAAGAGTTTTCAACCCAGGGTATTTTGTGCCTTTGTAAGAAATATCAAATATGAATCATCTT